CCATCTCAATTTTCAGTTAAAATGTCAACTGCGCATGCTTCGTCATTGCCATGTGATCAGGTCACATGACAGAGGTCATCTTGAAATCCGTCGTTCAATCGATTAAATTACGTTCGGTCTAATTATACACAGAAATATATACTTTTCAAGAAGAAATAGTCCTTCATTTTCGGTCAGTAGATACCTAAGATGTTTGTGTTTGCAAGGATAACTTTTATTTGTTTTAAATTTCATTGAAATCGTTCGATAACATCAAAAATAGCGTGCGCCCCGGGATCCCGGGGCGGCGAACTGTGCGGTTCTCAATGGACGCGATCTGCAGCTCTATGGCCGCAACGTAATATCAAAATAGCTTAAGCGGCCAATAAGAGCTGCTAAACTGCAGCAAGGAATAGTCGGCAGTATCGATCAAGTTCGTCTAGTGTGACATTCGTGGCTGGCGACAAGATGCTGTCTAATCGTTTAAATAGGCGTCAAGGAGGAGTGAAAAGCCCTAATTTGGTGCTACAATAGACGTCATGGAATGTTGGAAAATTACAGTCAATCAAAAAAACTGTTCACATGACAACAACAAATATTCACTATATTCATTATGCATTATTTTTTTGTTGGTAGCACGGTACGGTAGCTTACTTGTTTTCGAAGTGTTGTAATTGTTGATTAGTACTCAGTAGTGATTATATTAACGTACAAAAAATAAATTCGTTGAATTGTTATGAAATGCAAGTAAAATTCAACTTAGTTTTATCGTAAGCAAATGTTTTCGGTTACATGTTAACGCTCGATGAGACAATATCCGCCATGTTATCCATGCCCACAACGTGTGTTTATAATGACCAGATAGGTCAAGTCGCTAATCAACCAATCAAAATGCTGAATGGTGCCCATGTGCTCAAATTACCATAAAGCATTTAAATATGACAGTTCAGCGACCTCATGGTGAAAGCAATACGAAAGACCAGATTTACTGATGTTTTAGTGCGATCTTTTGGCTTCGTTTCTCATGGGGAAAAAGGCAGGATTTTTTTAATCGGATTTAGAAAAATAAATAAACGTACCGTCCCAAATAAAAATGTGCCGGATGAAATTTTTCTGTGGAAAAAAAAAATGTACCAGTACGTTTATATTGGGACATTTAGCGTTGTGGGCAAGCTCTCCTGAGTAGCGACATATTTTTAACTTCGCCTATTGCGTGATCAGTGGATTACGTAAATAAATCAACACTTTCAATGAGTACATGCCGACCCAACTAAACTTGTTTATGGCTGTTTATGAACAGCGAGGACGCATCTCATAGAACAATAGCTGTGGAAATCATAAACAAATGTAAATGTTGCGGAAATCAAGCATGGCGATAATGATTTTGAGCGAGGCAGAGTCTGGCAAGCGTCTCAGAGCAGCATTGCGCCGACACCACCACGACGTTTGAATCTCGGTGAGAGCACTGCAAACCTCTTAAGTCACGAGGTAAACTTTCAATTTACACAATACATAATCAGTTCCTACAACCATAATAAAAAGGCAGTTTTTCTGGCGAAACTCTCGCCAGGTTAGCAATAGTTTCTCACGATCACCAAACCGGAGACACAAACGATAATACAAAGTGTATAAATACCATAACAAGCACAGTTTCTTACCTTTGAAATTGACGAGACACAATTTTGTCCATAGAAGCGTTGCGCAAATAAAGATTCCGGGATACAATATCCTCACAAATGACTGATTTCCACCGAGACGAGAACTGCGTAAGCGTCATCAAAACTCGGATTAAACTCGGGTAATTTCGGGAAAAGTCGGATTTTGAAGGGAAAATGTTAAAAATCAAGGAAAAACACAGAGAAACTTTGAAGAATCGAAAAAATAACTTGATGTGCACCATAGCACCATTAATTTCTGTCTCTGTACCAACTCTGAACTTAATTGGATCACACATGTGTGAGAAAAAGCTGGTAACATGAAAATGTGCACGCACATTGCACAGACACAACCCAAATTAATACCCCCCGCCCGGATCGCAGATCCGGCGGGGGCTAAACATGTGACGTGATCATGTACACGCATGCCCATACCCTCAACAGGGAATATGTAAATTAATGTTTTCATGTGATACTCACCTTCATTGTAGTCCATCTCATCCAGATCTATTTCTGAATTCATTGGCCATTTTCTGCTCACTGCATTCTCTGTGATGAAAGAAGTAAATATTAACAAGTCATTGTTAATGACAGTCCCAAATTAAATTCTGTGTGTGTGGATGGACCTACATGTACATTTATATCTTAGATATGCCGGGACCAATTACATTCAAACTTCACACATACATCATATATAACATTATATAAATGCACATCAATTTGTTGCATGATCTGATTACAAATAATATTTCTGGCATTCTAGAATCGCATCTTGGTCATTTATGGATGGGTTTCATTCAAACTTGGTACATGCCATTGGACATTATAGGATGATGATGTACGTCCATTTGTTCTTCAGATCGGATTCAAAATTGCAGACCAGTGGCCATTTTGTTTTAATTAACGCTGTTCCAAAGCAAAATCTCTCAATATGGACAAACTTCATGATCAGATACAAGATAACTGAATGCTAATCATTTTAATGTTGAAAAATCATCATAATTAAGCATAAGCTTCTGGATCCATAGGTCTGACATGTTTATGTTCAAACTATATTACCGGTACTATAAACAAATCTTAATTTGATAACTAACTGGGACTGTGCCATGTATGGCTTGTTTGGTATGGTGTTACCCAATTACACTCTTAACAATGTTTTCATGGCGGGAAATTAAGCACTTTACAATTTAATGTGACATAAGTAAAACATGAACTAGTAACAAGTGACTAACATACTTTGTATCTTTGAGAATATACACCTTGTTAGTTAGAGTTTATTCACACCCACAGACGTATTCTGTTGTATAAGCTAATATGCATCTCAGGAGGAAATCTTGCCATTCATGAATTCATTTGCAGCCGGATTCACTCTTGTAAATTATCTATGTGCATTTTTTTAACGTGTATCAATTTATGACACATGCTAAATATCATTGAAAATAGTGCATCGGTGAAAGAGAGAGAGTAGTATCAAGGCCAAAAAAGAAAATGGCTGCCTTTCTCCCATCTTTGATCCAATTGTAAAACAAATTGTCATTAAATCACTAAAACCACAGACTGCATAATAATAACTTTATTACGCCGTATTGTGAAATTACATCTCAATTTTAGCTAATTGTAATAAAAGTATAACAACAAGAAGTAACTAAATCACATAAAAAAGACATAACTACTACTAGGTACAGTACTAATAGTGCTTAAGAGAAGAAAAATTTCATTGTGCTTGGAAGTTAGCAAGTAAAGTATAAGATGATTTAAGATAGGTAATAACATGTTTAATGAGTTTTATTTCTGATGTACCAGTATTCATGATATACTTAAATTTTTCTATATTACTGGCAGACTGAAAATCTGGAAATTGTTCAGTGAAGACCATATATAGTTTCTCACGATCTGTATTATAGAGTTTACAGGATGTAATGAAATGTATTTCATCTTCAAGTATGTTACACGTCTTGCAAACTCTGTTGTCAACTGCTGTTTTTGGTCTCTTGTAACGTCCTAGCTCTATTTCTAATCTGTGGTTGCTAAGTCTCAGTTTAGACATAAGCTTAATTTCCTCTCTCTTATTCAACAGGTATAAATAAGGTGATGTGCTAATGTTGTTCTTATTTTTGAATCTGGTCTTTTGATGTCCTGAAGCCATGAATTTACATAATGATCTTTGGCCAACTGATAAAAAGTTTGTTTTTGTACAGACTGAATGTTAATTTTGTAAATTTTACTAATCTTAATTAGACTAGCTAGCCATGTATTTTTATAGCAGTT